CCCTCATCACCAGCTACCTCGCGGAGAGGAGCAATGGTAGAGGAAGGGAGGAGTCCCCAGGAACGAGTCACAGGGGGACTAAAGGAGGGTGCCAGGGCAGGTGAAATAGGAGCTGGCAGGGAACAAGATGGCGGTAAGGTGGGGCTAGAAAATGGCTGGACAAAAGATGGTGACGGAGGAAAAGAAGATGGCGGCGGAGCTGCCTGTGGGGGTTGGGGGACAGGAAATGGCAGTGAATCGGGGCTGGAAGAAACAGGGGAGGAAGAGGCAGGAGGGAGAACAGGCTGACTAGGGGGCCCCTCACCCCTCAGCGGCTGCCCCGGAGACCAGGGCTGTTTACCGGCCTGCCGGCCGGGCACAGAACACAGATGAAGTGGAGTTAACTGAGGGGGTTGGGAAGCAGAGGAAGTTACAGGAGAAGGAGACCTGTGTGGAGGGGGTTCGTCCACAGGGTCAAAATTATCAGGAGTAGGGGGTAGTGGAGGCAGTGAGGATGGAGGGGGTTTGGAAGCAAGAAGAACCTGGGAAGGGGAACAGGTGAGACAGAGAGAGGGATTTTGGGCAAGCAGGCAGAAAGCCTCCACATATGGAATCTCTTTCCATTTCCTCAGGCACTGGCAGTAATTAAATAGGTCCCAGAGAATGTCGGGATCAAGTGTACCCTCAGGGGGCCACTTATTTTGGTTATCTAAGGGATAATAAGGCCAATTTTGCGTGCAAAATTTAGTGAGGAGTTTGGGTTTAATGTCAGGCTTGAGGGATAGGGTGGTGAGGTTGTTTAAGAGACATTGTAAGGGTGAATCACCCTGGAGGGAGGAGGCGGAAGCTCCCATTCTGAAGAGGATTAGAGAGAGAGAGAGAAGTTTCAAAATGAGGAGGATTAGTATGAGCCCTCCGGCCGGATGAGAGGGACAGAGCTCAGAGGGCGCCCCCAATGAGTTGTGCCATTCTCAGGAGATGGGTTCCAGGAACCCAGGAGGGAAGGGGGTGTAGGTCGTCACCTAGACCCATGCTACCCTTAGGCAAAATGCCGGAGGAGCCGGAGGGACCTAACATGTTAGGGTTTTACAGATGGTGGGTCCTGGACCCAGTAGGAGGAAGGTTAGATGGGTTCAAGGATGAACCCAGGAAGGAGGAAGGTTAAAAGGAGTGAGAGAAAGAGAGAGGGAGGAATGGGAGGTTCAGCCTCCGGGGCCGGGAACGTATCAATGCCGGGGCTGGGGGAATGTGATTAGGGTGAAGGTTTAAACAATCTACAAGCCTGACAAAAGGAAAAGGGGGCTTACCTAACGGATGAGCCGGTGGTGGGTGAAGGAAGCCAGAGCTGGAGAAAATGGACGGGGGTGGACCGTCAGTCCCGGGGGGTGGCAGAGGAGTCCGAGGAGGTCTGAGGAAGGAGTCCCCTGTTGCAGGGTGAATTCCTTCCTGGGTTTCGGCACCAAAATGTAGGGGCGCATGGACGAAGGAAACACGCGAGACCCGGGCTAACAGTTCGCCAACGAGGTTCCGCTTTATTCAAGGCCTGTGCGTACATTTATAGGGTGCTGTGTTCCGGGGCGGGAGAGAGAGTGGACGGGGTGGTAACTGATTGGACGGGGCTGGGCCAGAGGTGAGCCTTGACCTGTGACTGGCTGAGGTTTGGTGTGGGTGGGCTTGTTTACTGTGGAGAAGAACCAGGAAGGGCGCCATATTGTCAGGGTGTGTCCCTGTTCGGGCGCCCATGGGGTCCCTACACCTACACAATCTATCACATCAAATACCTACAATACACCATATTTTATATAGTATATAGAAAATGCTATATACAAGAGATCTTCAAAACTTCATGGAAAGATTCGTATTATCTTTTAATTCTATTTTTCCACAAACTTTGGAAGTGCTCTTGTGTATATATCCAGTATACATACAATGCTGTAGTTTGAAAAATATAAAAAATATATATCACAATGCATGGATGGCTTCATTAGCAAAGGACTTGAAGAAATCAAGAATTATGGAACCATTTGGCCAACCTGAAAAAAGCAGGGATACTTCTTCCACTTTATCAGTAGGGAATTAGAGAAGACAAACATAGATTCAGGTAGGTTCTGGAATGAGAATCTATAAACATTTTACTATACAATTAAGCTAAACATAAATATAAACACAAATTCAGAATATCATAACTTGGAATCTAATACTGGTTTCCAAATTATCTCCCTACCCCACTCACCCTTCCACCCAACCCTATAACCTGTGTGGCTGACTCTCATTCCATGATCTGTAGATTTCACCTGGTGTCTCATTTTTTCCTTTTCCATCACTCATTTATTTTGGGATCCTTATTTTTTGTTCCTAATGAAGGCCTCAGTCAAAATTCCTCTAAGTACAAGGTATATCAATTGCTTCTTTATTTGACAGAACTCTGTTTCTTTCAATACACACTGAAAATTATTGGCTTCCAACTTTACTTGTTAAGCTAGAAATGACTTTATTTTTTGTTTCCCATCCATTCAGCTATATCTGAAATAGGAACACAAATTGCTACATCTGTGTTCTCTGCTCCTGGCTCTTTGTGTCTATGGTGAGGCCAAGGTACAACTTAAAGGCACTTTAATGTGAAAATAAACTTGTTTGAAATCTAAGATGAAATATATTCCCGCATTAGATAGAAATATCTAATATATCATTTCCACTGCTGCATTTCTGTACGTAGTCTATCCCGATCGCATCTGTCCTCTCAACTCAGGTGATGTTCTCATCGGACCATCTCCCACCTAGTGTCGTGAAGGCTACACTTGCTCACATGACAATAGTAAGCCATGCTCTAATAGGATGCCCTATTTCTTGCAGATGAACAGATTTCTCCAATTGTAATGCTTCCTTAGAAGAAATCCACCTCTATTTGAATTATTTTTCTTGAATACAAAATACTTTGTTATCTTTATTTCTATATCACTGTTGACACAGCCAGTAGAAGCCAAGGAGTCAAGGAGCCTGGCTTTCTAGTTCTAGAAAGCTGGACCTAATTTCTTATGGGAAGACCCAGGAAAAGAGGATTTTACTCATTATTTCTATTCCTTCTCATTACCACTATTTCTCTTAGCAGTTAATGATGCTGATCAAGATGTGTTTGTGGCATTGATTATGGTGATGGTTTCATGGGTATGCACTTACCTACAAGTTCATCAAGTTGAATACATTAAATGATGTACAGTTTTTTGTTTAAAAATTCTGTGCTAACAGTCTCTAACTGGTCATGTATTCAGTGTGCCTACCTTGTTAACACATCAATGTTAACACATTTCTGTTAACACCATTTGAAAGCTACATTGTTGTTTTATCATTTAGCAATTCAGTTCCTCAGATATGACAAGAGATTTTCTACTCACCAAAGGAAGTTTAATATTCATTTCAAAGTGTTCATCTTAAACTTTGACAATACTTGGTCCTCCCAAAGATTCTGACTAGTGTGTGAGATTTGTTAGAGCTGACCTAAACCCTTTTGTTCAAACACTAGACTCAGTCAAAAATCTCCTCCCACACTTACCCTTATCCACCATGTCATAAAGGCAGTTGAAGAGCAAAGCTGAGGGTAACCATCTTCTGGAATCAAGTCTCATTTTTCTTGTACAAGATACTGAGGTAGTTTCCAACATCTCGTCTGATTTCCATTCTTTGTCTGGTCCCTTACTTCTGGTTTGAACCATAAACCATGAATCTGAAGTTGAATTTTTCATTTATCTGTGTTCTCCTGCTCTAACTGGACATTGAGAAATACTCCAGGGTGTTCAACCTCATCAGAGTATTACTCCCACATAGCTTGGATATTTTCCTTCCAACCCTGAGCTGCCTGTTTAGACTCTAACCCCTGCTGTCACCCTCCAGGTTGGCATGAGGTCATAGACTTTTCATGTCAGCTTCATGATCAAAGCTCCGTCTTCTCTGGATCCTTGTGACATCTCTTGTCTTTCTGCTCTAGACGTATCCACACTGGTGAGCATTTTGGTGTGTGTGAGTCAGAATAAAGAGGTACCCTCACTAATGATTGGCATTGTCCAAACATGCTTCAGAGGTATAGATCTAATTGTATGATATATAGATATAGATATAAAGTATTCACTTGTTAAATAATTTGGGAACTCTTATTCAGACTTTTGTTTTAAGCTGTGCTAAATAATTGCTTGGTTTTCTGATAATTTCAAGACATGAAAATAAAATGTTTTCTCTACTTCTTTTAGATGGTCCGATATTCTTCGCAGCATTTGTAAAAATGGAGCACAGTGATGAGAATATTAAATTTTGGATGGCTTGTGAAACCTATAAGAAAATTTCCTCACGGTGGAGCAGAATTTCTACAGCAAAGAAGCTTTACAAGATTTACATCCAGCCACAGTCCCCTAGAGAGGTAACTACCCAACGATGATGGGAAACAGAAATTAGCACATCCCTGGCAGGGTGCTACATCTGTCAAGCATCCATACATGCAGGCATTTTACATCCAGTATCTCCTAAAATGCTGTAGATTCAGTATTGCTAACCTCATTTTACAGAACCCCAAGAATCTGAGAGGTTAATTAACTTGTTCAGTATCACACAGCTGTTAATAAAGTTAGGATTCAAAGTTAGGCCTGTCTGCCTCCAGAACCTCTCCTTATTAAATTATCTTAATTTCAGGAAAGTTAAAAAAAAAAAAGTTGGGGGGTGTCCTTGAATTGGCCTTGCCAGCAAGAACTATGAGTACCATAAACAGGCATGTGGACATCCCCACTGGTGTTGGGCAAAGTCTTTGCCACCCCCCCCCGGAGCTTGCTGCTGACCTTAATTTAAAATTAGCTATTTACAGCAACATGGATGAGCTTGGAGAAAACTATGTTAAGTGAAATAAGCCAGACAAAGAAAGAGAAATACCACATGTCCTCATTCATAAGTGGAAGCAAAGAACGAGTAAAAGAGAGACAGAGAGAAGAAAGAAAGAAAGACAGACCACAATTAATACGTTGATCTTTCAGAAGGAGAGAACAGACCTCTGGTTCCCAGAGGAGGGGGGTGGTGTGTTGGTAAACAAAACTCAGGTTTGATTCCTAACCCAACCATTGCTATTATGTTATCTTTTGTAATTTACTTCTCTAAGTATCAGTTTCCTCAAAAGTAAAATGGAAAACTTAGTAGGATTTTGTGCGAAGTAGATGTAATATACTAGATCATACAAAGTATCTGTGATACAGTTATCTGTATAAAGTAGCTGTAATACAGTTGACACTCTATTAGTTTATTACTTTTTATCCCTAAAAGTTTTTTAAATTAAATTAAAAAGAAACAACTACCAAACCCAGCAGACATTCACATTGATGTTACTGCCAATCACTTACAACTGCCTAAAGAAAATAAAGAGTCACAAGTGAAACAGATGCACTGAGACTCCTCCTGATGGAGAGAGAATGAGAAGTGACAATTCCTGCTACAGGGTAAGGACAGAGGATGGCATGTAAGATTTCTACCGTGTGGGACAGAATGACATCACTGACTTCTTCCCCAAAAGTCTTGTCTGGAAAATATTTGTTTCATTGAAATAACCACTTCTTCCCTCTATTTCTTCACTTCTCCTCACTTTCTTCCCATTTCAGGGCATATTTAGTTAAATCAACATTTGTGACTATTAAGGAAGATAAATTTTAAAATAGCACCAACTTCCCTTTTCCTTAAAAAGAGAACTTCATCTCACAGATTCCTTTGTTTGTAGACTGCCACCGACAAGCCACTTGCCAGCTCCTGTGTAAGCAATGGTTACCGGGACTTCCCTGGTCTTAGGCCTTTTGGTTTTCTTTTTCTTCTGGGATGTGGACATGGATATTTACTCTTAAAAAAGCAAAAAGTTTCTCTCTTTTACGTCTTTTTAGATACTTATGAAACTGCAAACAAAATTACTCTACTGTGCTGAAAAGCAGAGGGGAGAATAAATTAAACTATTTTTTTCTGACCGGTAAGGGGATCACAACCCTTGGCACAGTGTGGTCCGCACCACGCTCAGCCAGTGAGCACCCCGGCCATCCCTATATAGGGTCCGAACACTCTCCTGAGTGAGCCGCGGGACCGGCCCATAAATTAAACCTTTCAATTATATGTGTCTGTCTTCAATTATGTTTGCTTATGCCCTACCTGTAATTTTACTTTTCAGATTAACATTGACAGTTCAACAAGAGAAACTATCATCAGGAATATTCAAGAACCCACTCAAACATGTTTTGAAGAGGCTCAAAAAATAGTGTATATGCATATGGAAAGAGATTCCTATCCCAGATTTCTAAAGTCAGAAATGTACCAGAAACTTTTGAAAACTACTCAGTCCAACAACAATTCCTGACTACCACCCAAAAGTTTAAATTGAAGATGGTATATTGAAAGTACTGGCTTTAGCCTTTTAATTTAGAAAAAACACAAAATCAGAAATAACATAGGCATGAAACAGAAATCAAGCTATAAATTTCTAGTAACCAGAGAGAAGCAGATCCCAAAAGGAATGGACTCTAGAACTCTAGTTATAAATTGTAAGTTGTGTAATATAAATTATACATCTTACAGTATTCATATGTAGCTCAGTTAATATATAAGGAAAAGGAAGGTCTTTCTTCACGACACAAAACTTATAAAGGTCTTAAATTAAAGTCTTTGATCCATTTTGAGTTATTTTTGTGTAGGGTGAGAGATAGGAGTCTATTTTCAGTCTTCTGCACATGGATATCCAGTTTTCCCAGCACACCATTTGTTGAAGAGGCTGTTCTTTCCGCCTTGAATATTTTTGGTAATTTTGTAGAAAATTGATTGGCTGCTAAGTATGTGTGTTTGTTTAAGGGCTCTCCATTCTATTCCATTGGTCAATTTGGTTTTATGCCAGTACCATGCTGTTTTGGTTACTATAGTTTTATTTTGAAGTCAGGAAGTGTGATACCTCCAACTTTGGTTTTATTTGTTCAAGATTGCTTTAGCTATATATGGTCTTTTGTGATTCCGTACAATTTTTTAAGACTGTTTTTTTTCTATTTCTCTGAAGACTGTCATTGGAATTTTGATAGGGATTGCATTAAATGTGTAGATGCTTTGGGTAATATGGACATTTTGATGACGTTAATTCTTCCAACCCATGAACATGGAATATCTTTCCATTTATTTGTGTCTCCTCCAATTTTTTTCACCAATGTTTTATAGTTTTCCTCTTAGAGGTCTTTCACCTCTTTGTTATATTTACTCCTGGGTATTTCATTTTTTGATAGCTATTGAGAATTGGATTACTTTCTTGCTTTCTTCTTTGGCTATTTCGTTGTTGTAGTATAGGAAGGATATTGATTTTTGTGTGTTGATTTTGTATCCTGCCACTTTACTGAATTCATTTATTAGTTTTGGTAGGTTTTTAGTGGAGTCTTTAGGGTTTTCTATGTATAGGTTCGTGACATCCACAAATAAGGACAGTTTTACTTCCTCTTTTCCATTTTGGATGCCCTTTATTGCTTTCTCTTGCCTTATTATTGTACAGGCTAGAACTTCCAGTACTACTTTGTGTAAGAGTGAGTAAAGTGGCCATCCTTGTCTTGTTCCAGATCTTGGAGGAAAAGCCTCCAATTTCTGTCCATTCACTATGATATTAACTGTGGGTTTATTATATATGGCCTTTATTGTGTAGAAGTGCATTCTTTCTATACCTAATTTTTTGAGGTTTTTTTTTATCATGAAGAAATGTTGGATTTTATCAAATGCTTTTTTTTGCATCTATTGAAATGATCATATGGTATTTTCCCTTCATTCTGTTGATGTGGTGTATCACATTTATACATTTGCGTATGTTGAATCACCCTTGCAATCCTGGGATCGATCCCACTTGATCATGGTGTGTGATTTTTTTCAGTGTGTTTCTAGATTCTGTTTGCTAGTATTTTGTTGAGGACCTTCACATCTGTGTTTATTAGGGATATTGGTCTGTAGTTTGTGTGTGGGGGGGTGTCTTTTTCCGATTTTGGTATGAGAATAATGCTGACCTCATGGAATGAGTTTGTAAGTATTCCCTCCTCTTCAGGTATTTGGTAGAGTTTGAGAAGAATTGGTGTTAGCTCTTTAAATCTTTGGTAGAATTTGCCAGTAAGGCCATCTGGTCCTGGGAGTTTCTTTGTTGGATGGCTTTTTATTACTGCTTTAATCTTATTACTCATTATTCGTCTGTTTAGATTTTCTAGTTCTTCATGATTCAACTTTGGTAAGTTGTATATGTCCAGGAATTTATCCTTTTCTTCTAGATTTTCCAGTTTTTTTGCGTGTAGTTCATAGTAGTCTCTTATGATCCTTTGTATTTCTGTGGTATCAGTTGTAATGTTCCCTTTTTCATTTCTGATTTTGAGTCTTCTTTCTTTTTTCTTCATTAGTCTAGGTAAAAGTTTATTGATTCTGTTTATCTTTTTGAAAAATGAACTCTTTGTTCCATTGTATTGGTTTTTAAAGTTTAATTCATTTATGTCTGCTCTGATCATTGCTATTTCTCTCCTCCTACTGATATGGGGTTTGGTTTGTTCTTGTTTTTCCGGCTCTTTCAGGTGTAATGTTAGGTTGTTTATTTTGGAGTCTTTCTTCTTCTCTTATGTACTCATTTATTGCTACAAAATTCCCTCTTAGAACTGCTTTCACTGTATCCCATAGATTCTGCTATGTTATGTTTTCATTTTCATTTGTCTCCAGAATTTTTAAAATTTCCTTCTTGATTTCTTCTTTGACCCATTCATTGTTTAGAAGCATATTGTTTAATTTTCATGTACTTATACAGTTTCTAGTATCACTTTTGTTGTTGATTTCTAGTTTTGTTCCATTGTGGTCAGATAAGGTAGTTACTATGATTTACTTTTTAAAAAAAAATTTATTGAGACTTATTTTGCATCTTAACATATGGTCTATTCTACAGAATTTTCCATCTACTGCTGAGAAGAATGTGTATTCTGCAGCTGTTGGATGAAATGTTCTAGAAATGTTGGTTAGGCTAAGTCAGCCTGTAGTAGAGATTAATTCTGATGTTTCCTGGTTAATTTTCTGTCAGGATGATCTGTCCTTTGCTGAAAATGGGATATTAAAGCCCCCAACTATTATTGTGTTAGAGTCAATCTCTCCTGTTAGGTCCAGTAGTAGTTGCTTTATATAACTGTGTGCTGAGAAGTTGGGTGTGTATATATATCCTCTTGTTGAATTGATCCCTTCATCATTATGACATGAGCCTTATATTTATGAAGAAAGAAAACATTCAAAATGATTTCCCCTCCTGGATTCGTTTTTAAATATTCATGTCTTCTCCTGGCTTAAAGTAAATATGACCTTTCTATTGAAGCAAAGCTTTCCCTCTCTTCCTAGTGATTCACTAGTTCTCATACCACTGAATTCTTTATTTCATGAACCATTACATTTTATTGGTACCTAGAATGATAAATTTTGTCACAATCTATGGTTCATAAGATCCCAGGCATTTTGTCTATAGTGTTTTCCACTTTTAAAAGATGAGCAGTATGAGACATCACATAACCAATCATACACATTCAGGTGCTAAGAAGGACTAAGTTGCTAAACAACCATTCCTCCAGTTCTGAAACTAAGGAAGCCCAGAAAAAAATAAATGAATAAACCAATAAGTGTCACCAATAAAACAAAAAAACCCTTTTATTCCATGCAATGGAAAGAATACTGAATTCATTGTTAAGAAACTTGGGTTTCAGTTCTGGATTTCCCAGTTTAGTTATATAAATTTATTTAGCTCTTGGTGAATTATAGAAAATTATACAAGCTACTTATTCTCTGTGTTTCTCGATTCCTCATCTTTAAAAAGACATTATTAGACTAGATGATACCTCAGTTCTGTTTCAGCTTCAAAATTCTTACTACCTTCAGTACTTTTAAATTACCAAGTTTTTCTAAGTTTGAAAGATTTTTTGTGACATTCTATTGCCTCTCCTCTGTTTTTTGTACATTTAATAGTATGACATATCTTCAAAAGTAAACTTTGCCAAAGAGGTACTCTTCTAACTTCACACTTGCTCAGGAGTTTGGAAATCATGACAATCTTCACCACCCCACCTACCTACCCCAGGCCTTTCCACACCATTCACTGCTAAAACTTGTATTTCAACTTCAAAAAAAAGACCTTATAGATTGTGGAAAACAGTAAGGAGATTTCTCAAAAAGTTAAAAATAGAGCTACCATATGATCCAACAATTCCACTTCTGAGTATTTATCCAAAGAAATTAACAACAGGATCTCCCATGTTCACTGAAGCATTATTCACAATAGCCAAGATATGGAAACAACTTAAATATCCTTCAACAGATGAATGGATAAAGAAAATGTTGTATATTTATATATAATGGAACATTATTCAGCTTTTAAAAAGAGAAATCCTGGCATTTGCATCAAGATGGATGGAGGGGGAAGACATTATGCTAAGCTAAATAAGCAAAACTCAGAAAGAGAAATACTTCATGATGTCACTTATATGTGAAATCTAAAGTAGTCAAATTTATAAAAACAGGATAGAATGGTGGTTGCCAGAGGTTGGGGTGATGGGAAAAGGGGGAGAAGTTGGTCAAAGGGTACAAAGTTTCAGTTGTGCAGGATAAATAAGTTCTGGAGATCTAATGTACAGCATGGTAGCAATAGTTAATACTGTATCGTACACGTGAAATTTGCTCAGAGGAATGATCTTAAATCTCACCACACACAGACAAATGCTCACTATGTAGAGGTGATAGATACATTACTTAACTGAATTATGGTGATCATTTCACAATGTATACATATATCAAAAACATCAAATTGTACTCCTTAAATATATAGAATTTTTACCTGTCAATAATATCTCAATAAAGCTTTGTTTCTTTTTTTTAAAAAAAGCCTTCACAGTTTATCCTTTCTATCAACTTATAAGACATAGAAATTTCAGAAGAATAAAAAATCAGTATTCTTGAAAAATAAATAAAGAAAAGAAAATATTAGTATTCTTCATGACATACATTGTTCTTAAACTTTGGTGATAGCATGTATAAAGTAATATAAATTGTATGATTTACACTGGATAAGGGCAGGTGAGGTATTGTTAAGATCCTTGGAGCAATGGCTAATATCGTTTATTGTCACGGAGGTCAGATGGTAACAGAAGAAAATAAATTTCTTGAGTCTGAAGCCATATCTTATTCTACGTTATATCCTCACAGCTAGAGAGAGTACCTAGAACATATTACACACTCAAAAATGGATAAATGAGGGAATGAGTAAATAAGTAAACCAGTAAGTTCAGTTACCAATAGGAAATTAATAAATCTGGTGTCAGATCTTCTTTACACCAT